TTACAGTTCGGAAAAATATCGGCCGGAATATAAACGGTTGCATCGTCGAACAAAGTAGTTCTACCTTTCTAGGCCACAATCCGCGTTGCATCACGAAACGTGCAGCAACCTTTTCAGTCTCGCTTCCCATTTTCACTTTTGATCGTGCCCATGAGGATACACCTTTTACGACGTCGCTCGTAAACCTGTTGACGATTCATCATCCGGTATGAACAATCGTATCGAGTTGAACCACAACACGTTTTATTTCGATATGTAATATGCAAATATATAATGATAAAATAAAATGTTATTAAAAAGTTCCACCAAAATTATAACCCTGATGTTCGATTCGCCATAGCAGCAACACGTGCGTGAGGGTGAAATAGAAAAATTGATTAAAAGGCAGGATATCAAAGGGGTGACGAATACACGAACCGAATTTAAAGTTTCGTCGTAAACCCCACGAATTTACTCGTCGATCTATGGGGACTTATCTTTTTCCTTTTCAAGATACCTGACTAGAGAATGCAATGAGAAAACTAAAAACCTTTTCTCTTTCTTTCTTTCTCTCTCTCTCTCTCTGTTCAAAGTATACGTTGCGAATGTAAATTAACGAAGAACAAATGGTTGTATTTATTGGAAAGGAGGGCACGTTTCAGATCTATCTTCTTAATATATATATATATATATATATATATATATATATATATATATGTACACCGACACACACACGCACACACAACGTACGAATATACGTTATTACGTTCGTTGCCGGCGAAACGCGGATGCGATCGCAGAAAAGTTCAACTCGTCCCACGTGAATAATCCACCATCGAATTTCTCTTTCTCTCTTTCTCGCACATGTTAAAGTATCGTCCCAATGTGTATGTATATATGTAGTTGTATATAACACACCCGTCCTCTCGCTAAGTAGTATCCACCGGATTGGTTTCGCTTTCTCACGGCATCTACGAGAAACTCGTCGATAGGATTTTTCCTCCTTCGAGAGATCGATAAGATCTCTTCGCGAAAAGAACTTCGCCCCTTAAGGAGTCCACGGAGACGTTTTATCTTCTCGATTGTAGCTGACGTAACATAGAATTTTTTTTCTTTTTTTTTAATTTGGTACATAACGAAAGGACGATCGATGGAATGCATGGATCTCGATTGTTTAAAATTGATTACTCGACGAATAATCGCTCCGACATAATCGCGTAATACTCTATCTGGATAATTATCTCTTATTCGAATTCTTGATCACTTTTCTACACGTAATATACGAAACGATCGAAAGAAAAGATAAGTCTTTACATAATAATGTTCTATCCCGATAAATGAACTCGTGTGTAGAGACAACTCTGTCTTCCTTCGTTCTTTCTCTAAAGCGAGTGTGCGTGTACATACTTTCATCGCGTTAACTTCTTTGCGGTGATGATGGACGATAGTGCGAGTTCGGTTCAACGAAAGGAAGAATTTTCTTCCTTTCTATTTTGCCCATTAACGATACAATGAAGTTACGTGAACTTTTCCAAGTAGATCGGTCTAATTACGAGAAGCGAAGCGCAATTACGTTCACAAAGAGACAGTGGCAACAAATGAGCTTAAATCAGTGCGCGACCGAAGAAGAAGAGTAGAGATGGAATAAGGAAGAGCAGGAAGAAAATTTATTAGCAAAGATAGTTAGATACGCCTCTCCCCTTAAAGTAAAGATGTAACGTGAGAACAGCGATGCAGACAATACTTGAAATACCATGGCATTTCGCGTTCGCTTTCTTTCGCTTAGAGAAAATCTCCTAGCGCTTACTATGTTCCTACCTATATACTTTCGCGATCTATTGTTCCTGCCAGCTTTTTTCGCGTTTCGAAATTTACCCAGAAATCAACGAGTATTCTTTTTTCTTTGGTTCTTTAAAAAAAAAAGCATTTCCACGACTTATCCTTCTCAGAGCTTACTTTCGCGATGACCTTGTCGCGTAGTTGCATGACGCGCGCGCCTCGTGCCGTTTTTCCTCCTCGAGGTCGACGTTCGTCGCCCCAGAGTATGCTGGACCAAGGTGACGGTGGCTTGGGTGCCGGCGTTGGCGGTAAACCATAATGGATTGCATTCTTTTGCTTCAAAAGTATCATTCTTCCTCTTATTTATTTTCACTGGTCGTCCACTGAACGAGATTCTTTTTTCACATACTAATGCGAGGAGAAAAATCGATACGGCCAGAAGAAGAAATTGTTTTTCCAAGACAATCAAGAGAAAGAAGAAAATAAAGAAAAATTATAGAAAAATGAGTGTGAGAGAGAGAGAGAGAGAGAGAGAGAGACAGAGAGAAGTGACTCCTCCGATGTTCCGCGCGCAATTCACCGTCGTGCCGAGTGGCGGCGAACCGACTGAATCGGACGATACGAAGCGGAGTCCGTAGAAGGGCTGCTACCTCCACAGCAGCGCCTCCATAGTGCACCCTCTCAAACGCGCGCGCTATGTGCATGAGTAGAATGCATACTCGGCGTCGCGACGTTCCTCCGTCTACAACTACTTTGAGATAACGTGCATACTATTATACAAAGTAATTTTCTTCGATTCATTGAAAATTCCGCAGAAATACGCGGCTGTCTAACTTCGTACTAACTCTGCCGAATGATTCATTTTGCACTGACACATTGTTCATTTTAATCTCCTAGTAACGAGATCGTTACATAGCACTTGTCTGATAGGAATTAAACTATCAAGGATAGAGCAATCGCGTACATCACGATGGAAGTGATCTTTTAATCTTCTCTTATCGGCTCTGTTTATTTTCTCGCTATCGTGAAACAAGCGTTTTTACGATCGCTCGCACTCGCCTCAAACCGAGCGTGTAGAAGATATCGATATTTAAAAGACGCGGAAGCTCGCGCGCGCGTTACGGTCAGGCGATCGTGCGCATGATCGATCTTGATCGTTCAACTTGTATCGCATTTAACCGGCAACGGTTCGCAATTAAACGCAAACCGTGACGGATCGATTGATCGTTCGATAATTTATCCCTTTTCTTCTTTCTCGCAGAAAATGAAACTCGAATAAAAGGAAAATAGTCGTGCACGATCGTCCGTCCTCCACAAACGATCGATTAATCAGCTTTAAATAATCGAGATATATCCGAAGCTTATCAATCTATTGTACGAGAAAAATCGATAACGGACCAACGTCGACAGAAACTCGAGATTTCCTCGAAACTTCCGTATATCTAACGGGGATCAAAGCGATCCGATAAGGCATGACAGAGTTAAATGCCTAATTAGTGTGTGCGTACACGTACATATACCTACATACAATATGCGCAAATACAAGAGATAACGATCTTCGTTATGTATTTATAAAAAGTTTTGATATTCTAAATCGATATAAACTCGATTATTCGAATAAATTTGTTATTTATCACAAGACATTCTAGAAATATAATGATCAATCTCTAAGTTGAATTATCGCGTCCCTTTTACAGGCCGATTGCGGAAAAGGGAGGGAGAGAGAAAGAGAGAGATGGTTGCAGCGCCCTTGACCTATCACAATGGAGCTTATTTCAAACATTTCCACCAATAGTACTCGTCGGTAAAAGTCGATATGGATCCTACTAGAGCACGCGCGCGTCATTCGAAATAAAATTAATTTTCAATAAAATAAAAAATATTCGACATACAAGTATGTAAGTACTTTCTCATCATCGGTAGATTTCCAAATCGATAAATATTCCTACTCGAATGGATGCACACGTTTATCTTCCGAGAGACGGGAGATCTTTCGAAACGAACAAAATTGCGGATTCGCCCATACGTTTTCGCTTTGATTAATACGAATGATTTCTATTCGTGGTAAAAGTGCAACGACGAAGAGAACTACGAAATAAATACGAAATAATTAAAAGGAATAAGAAAAAATTAACATCTGCGTGGTCGAAATGACTGAATTTAGATCGAGTAAAAGACAAAGTTAATAAAAAATGTTTGACTCTCTGACGACAATGCAATCGCGAATGAAGAAGATGAGCATCGTGACGATGACGATCCCTTTGTTTACCGCCAACAGAAAATCTCCATCTCGCTTTCTCCCAGACCCTCCCCCCCTCTCGCGATACACTCTCCGTTTCTTTCACTCTCTCCTTTCATACGTATCTACATACGCTACAGAACGATAGCTCCGAAAGCGTTCGAGAGTATAATACGCTCGTATTTTAAACCGTCAAATATGGAAAGGGATCTATCATTTTCATACCTTGTGTCTCCCTCTTTCTCGTTCACTTCTCTCCTAGCGCTCTCTCTCTCTCTCTCTCTCTCCTCTCCATCTCCCTCATTCTTTCTTTCTCTCTCTCTCTCTCTCTCTCTCTCTCTCTCTCTCTCTCTCTCTTCCTCTCTTTCTCCATCTCTTTTTCTTCATAACAAGGAGTGTTTTCTAAGATACGTATCTTGTTCTAAAGAGATATCGTTGAATACAAGGTTCTCGTTATAGAAGTTAGATCTAGCATGTAAAAAATGCGAGGGACGCTATCATGTTGCATCGATATATTCATTTGACGTACTTGGAAGAAACACAAAACTCACCGAACTCTGAGGAGAACTCGACACGCTCGGTGAACGCTGCACTGTGACTAATGCCATGATAATCCTTCTCCGTTCGCTCCTAACCTCGAGGACAACGATCACTATCACCGTGCACTCGTTTAAAAAGGATCCCGCCGTCAGGACGACGGAAAACGTATCATTTTTCGCGCACCTTTAACGGCATCGCGCTCGTGGCAGCCATGTTCGATACAGTCTCACGCAAGGCGCTTCATGCGCATGCGTTTATCGTTCGTTCGTACGCGCGCGCGCGCGCGCATACTTCATTCCTCGCGATATCTTCTGGCTTTATTGGTGAACTTCAGTGCGTATGATATCACGGCCGTTTCGATTTACTTACTCCTTAATCGTTAGTCGTAATCATCGCACTTGTCGTTGTTTGCCATCTTCTACATCCAAATAATATACATACGTAATCTCAATATACAAACATTCTATACAAACAAGAAACAAAAGTTTTCTTTTTTGTATTAAAAGCGTATAACATTATCACAGTCTGGAGATACCCGTGTAATTTACGCGCGCTTTAACACACATGTCGTCCCCTATGGGATGCGTATCAAACTAACTGCAATACTATATTTGAATCTTTTTACAAATCGATACATCGAAAGTCGACATTTCCAATTACACCGGTATGAGACGCATTTTTCGTGTATATATCAGTGTGGAAACATATACGAGATAAATTATTATTTTTTCGTGTATATTATTATAATTTTAATATTAGTATATAATTTCGTAACGCGATATTGCTTTTATTAAATATTAAAAGTTTATATTGCAACGTTAAAAAATGTCTAAGATATTCACGCCGACGAACCAAATAAGATTGACGAATGTTGCAATTGTGCGAATGAAAAAAACTGGCAAAAGATTCGAAATAGCATGTTACAAAAATAAAGTAATTTCATGGAGAAATAAACTGTAAGAACTTTATCTTTATAACATTAATATATATATATATATATATCTTAATAATAATTATTATCACTTTTATGTCGATCAATGCATTCGAACTTAACCTATAAATTTTATAATAACAAAACATTATTACAGAGAAAAAGATATAGACGAAGTGCTTCAAACTCACACGGTTTTTACAAACGTATCTAAAGGTCAAGTAGCCAAAAAGGAAGACCTTGTAAAATCATTTGGTACAGACGATCAGACAGAAATTTGCAAAACAATTCTTGAAAAAGGTGAACTCCAAGTTTCTGATAAAGAAAGACATCTAGCACTAGATTCCATGTTCAAAGATATTGCTACTACGATTGCTGATAAATGTGTAAATCCAGAGTCAAAGAGACCATATCCAGTATCGATGATAGAAAAGGCTATGAAAGATGTACATTTTTCAGTTAAACCCAATAGAAATGCGAAACAGCAAGCTCTAGACGTTATTCCACAACTTAAGGCTGTTATGCCATTAGAACGAGCACAGATGAGACTAAAAGTTACAATATCTGGCAAAGAAGCAAGAAAGTTAAGAGAAAAAATTATTAAATTAGCAACAAAAATGGAAAGCGAAAATTGGGACAATGGAACATTAGATTTAATCTGTCTGATAGATCCTGGTCAGTTTAGAGAAATAGATGAACTAGTAAGATCTGAAACAAAGCGTACTGGATTACTAGAATTGCTTAATTTAAAAGAAATTGCAGAAGGAGATGAAGTTTTAGAATAAATTATAGAAAACAAAAAGTAAAGATACTTTTAATTATATAAAATGAATCTTGCTCTAACTTGTTAAAAAAGTAGTGCATAGAAATGTTACATCTTGTATTGTACAAGTTCTGGTGCTATAAGATTTAAAATATAAATGTATTATTTAATTCTGCTTTTACATTATAACTATCATAATGTAAACATTCATAGAACTTTTTATGTATTTATTAGATAACTCAGCTAAAAAACTTATTTACAATTAAATATACAAATAACTTTTATTAATAATCTGAATATCTATTTGAAACATAGATGTTTTATATATTTACATAAGAAATTATTAAGATTTTTTATTTTGTTTTAGTAAACATTATTTCGTATGTGTACATAATTGATATACAAGATAAATTATTTAATAATGAAATTCAATACTCTCTCTTTCTCTCTCTCTCTCTCTCTCTCTATATATATATATATATATATATATATATATATATATATATATATATATATTATATATAATATATATAATATATATATATATATATACTCACGCACATTAACACACGTACAAAATTGCTACTTCATTATTTAACTCATTCATGTAGTACAATTTGCATAATTTTTTTGTCAAAAATCCTACTCTCTCAAGGGTTGCATCTAACTATAAGATTATCCGAAATGACGCAAAATCATCCTTGTATAATTTTTTATCTACCTTGTTTTGATTCGTAATTCCTATAAAAATGCTTTAATAATTTCACAACAAATAATACACTTCTATGGAATATTTTTAGTAAGTCCTGATTTATGTAAATAAGTATATTTTTCTACATACTACAAAAAATGCATCTATATTATTAATTAATAATCCTAAAGAACATACATCTTTCATATTTATAAGATGCTTAAAGAATTAATCATAAATATATAATGCTTGATACTATCACTTACATTTGTGCAGATAGTTTCAATAATATCTGTATATCCGTAATATAAGATGTCGATGTAGTCTACTCATATTTATATAGATCAGTCACTTATTTCTCTTCTTGTACTTCTGCTCGAGGAATATAAATGTTTTCTGTACGTTGATCACATTTTGCAGCAATACGTGATACAGTTAAAAGAAAATCTGACAATCTATTTAAATATGTTTGTGCTTCCTTATCTAAAGCACCATTGCGCACCAAAGACGTAATACTTCTCTCTGCTCGTCTACATACATTTCGTGCTACATGAAGAGATGCACAAGCCTTTCCACCACCCTAATACAATAAAGGTAGGATAATTAATTTATAAATACATTTTATATTAGGTTTAAATTTAAAGAATATTTAGATAATAATATATATTACAGGAATAATATAATCTTCTGGTGGGGGCAACTGATTAGCATATTCTAAAATCCATTCTTCAAGATCTTTAGTATGTTGGCTTTCAAATGTTTTTGTTTTCCCTGGTATTGACTTTGATATAGCATGATTCAAATCAAATAATATCATTTGTACCCGTTTAAGTTTATCAACATAAGGATGTTCAACTTTACTATCACATGCAAATTCTCTTGCCAATCCAATATAAGAAGATAGCTCGTCTGTCGCTCCAAGAGCATTGAAAATCATATCATCTTTTGGCTTTGTATCGCCAGCATCCGTAACAGTTAACCCAGAATCTCCATCGCGTGAAAAAACTGCTACTTCAGCTATATTTGATGGTGTGCTACTACTACAATATCAAAATCATATATATTTACAAATATAATTATTTAGATTTGATAGACAATTTTTGTGTAAACATATATTTACTAATATTCAACAGACAATTCAAGGATTTCATATATCCTGCATTTTTATAATATATACTTGCTACAAAATATAAATAATTTTTGTTAACTGATATATTTATTATTAATAACTTGTAATCGACACGTGTTCTTTTCAAATCAAATTAAAATTCACTTTTAAGGTTATGATACTATGTAACACTTACCTATTTCTCAAAGAAGTTTGTAAACTATTTTTATATATAAAAATTGACTTTCTCCATGCACTTCTAACCAAGTCCATTTTTCAAATAAAATACTTTAACAAATTAGAATATTATATTGTATTTAAAATATTCTATAAATGTTTTTTTTCTTGAAAATTAACACCGGCATAGGGCTTGTAAATTTAGACGATCATTAAAGACGTGGGCGCCATCGCAAAATGTTATGAAACGATTGAAAACACGAAAAGGAAGAAGTAATTGCTAGAGAAAATATTTATCTTTTCGTAAATATAACTTGTAGGGAATATTATTATGTGCATTCTGTATTTTTTAATGCTATATCTGTTAAGCTCTTCTTCACCGTCTATCTCACTAATTAATAAAGTCTGCAACAATACGATGTAATAAGCAGTAGAATAAAATATATAAGCAATAGAATATTTCATGTAAAAATATTCATAAAATTCTTTAAATCTTATTATAAATAATATTACAAAAGAATGTAAATAATTTTTTATTGTAAATAATGTAACAAAAACGAAATTGTTTGATAGCTTTTTTTAAGAAATTACTTGGGACGTCATCTATATACATGGGAAAGCTCTTTCTATTGTGTATATATATATATACACAAAATCAGAAAAGCATCTGCAGATGGCGATATACACTTCACGATCAGCTGTAATTCGAGTCGTTACAAATGAAACACATCTATCTAAACATATATATTGCGATACCTATGATCGCGAATTCGATCTATTATTAACTCCTATTGAGTACAAAGTATTGCCTATGATATTAATTAAGTTTACATTAAAATTATTTCCAAAATCTATAACATAGATGTAAATATGTATATGCAAATTTTTTAATCACTTAGAACAGAAAACAGATATACTTCACGTGATGAACATCTGTAGATGCATCCAAATTATAAGGATATCTTCGATAAAACGTATGTAAGTAAAAATTCCATGAATTAAATTGATTCATTATTATTATTAATCTCGAACATATAAATCTCTACACAAGATGAAAACATTTAAGCATGTTCGTGATAGCTGGTAGATGAAGAAAAACATAGCTGACAAAACCTTTATTAGAATCTATCCAAATGATCAAGCATACGAAAAATAAAATTTGTCGTGCGGCATATTTATTGACGATATAATATTTGTAATTTTGTATCTAATAAAAAGATTTTGTTTGCAATGATAAGGTGATTATTTTGAGACAACATTTGTTCGGACACTTAACTATTTCAAAAATATTATGATTAATCTTCGTTTAAAGATGGACTTAGATCCTGCAGAAATGGTGAACGAGGTTAAAGAGAAAGTAATATTGCACTGGAACTGTCGAGGACTCACAGAGTTACCAGAAATCATACGAAAGTATGGCAGCCACATACAGGAGATATATTTAAAATGGAATAAACTTACCACTTTACCCCCATGGATTATAGAATTATTTAATGTTACTAATTTATATATCTATGGTAATCTTATTAAAGAACTTCCTATAGAACTTGGCAATATGTCCCAATTGACTGTATTAGATTTGAGTGCAAACAAATTAAAAGAAATACCAGCCTCTATTGGTAATCTAATAAATATAGAATCATTGTTATTTAATGATAATTACATAAAAAAATTACCAATGGGTAAGTATACGTTTAGGAAATTTAGTAACTGCTAGCTCATAATTTATTTTCTTATAATACAAAGAGCACTGCCCCTCAATTTACAAAACAGAAATGAGCCAACTTCATAATTTGGAAGTATTATCTCTTTCGGGAAATGAATTTGTAGCATTACCAGAGTGGCTTGGTTCATTACCAAAGCTTAAAGAGTTAAATGCAGATAACAATTATTTAAAGGAACTACCTAATAGATTGACATTGGCTCCTAAAGTATCAGTGATTTCAGTGTGTTCAAACAGGTTACTACATTCTATTGTATCATGCACATGCACACAGACATAGAAAATTACATCCATTAGAATTTGTAATATATCAATCATATTATCCTTTGTAATATAAATCATTTTTGATACAGATTAAAGTATTTACCATTAAATGGTTTCTTATCATCTCCTTGCATAAGATTTGATGCAAATGAATATTTAAATTATTTATCTTATCCTGTCCTCATCCAATTGGCATATCAAATTCACACGTCAGTCACTGGTGATTCAGTGAATATCCTAGGCTATAAGCAAGTATATGTACCCAACTTATTTCATTTCTATCAATTATAGAAAATTATTGACATGTTAATAAATTTTCCTTCTGCTTATTTAAAATGTAAAACTTGTTCCATGTTTATTACAGATGTTTCAAATTGAAATGCGAAGATAATCAATCATTGAATGCAAATATCAAATTAAATATAAAACTAGATGCATCATGTAACAAAAGTATAGTGATTGAATTACCAAGGCAAATTCTAAGGGTTCACAATGTTAATGAAAACAAAACTGTCTCTTTGTGGGAACTTGCCCTTAGAAAAGTTTACAGACTAAAGTATGCAATACTTAATTTTTACTGATACTAGCAGCAACTTTATATACAATCAATTATAAATGAAACTACAGATGAATCTATAACATTTTGTTTTAGGTATAAGCATATACTTAATATTTCTACATCTCCTATAAACGTTAAAATTGTTTACAAACAACATACTAAAAGAAATTTTGATTTTTTAATGTCCTCTATAAACTGTGCTTCATATAATCTATTGATAAATGGACCTGCCACTATTTGTGTAAATTCTCATTGTCAACAACCAATTTTCACGGAAGCTTGGATTATTGTTGGTATTATTCATCATATATATTCGATTCCAACTATTGCTTTATGTTGTTCTAGAAGGTAATATAATCTTCGAAAGTTTAAATATATGTATATGTGTATGTGTGTATATATATATATATATATATATCTCATCGTCAGAGTTACATTTACATTAACTTTTCAGCTGTGCTTTTAAATTTATGGCTAATTCAAATATGGTGCTAAATTTTCGTTGGTATTGCATAAATTGATGATATTTCTTTTATATAACTAGTCAATTATTCATTCTTGTATATACATTGTTACCAAAATAAAAAGAGATTATGTTCTTAATCTTGTTTCTTTTTTGTTTTTGTTTTTAATTTAATTTAATTCGATACTAGATATATTTGTCAGTCTCAATGCTCATATTTTCTTAATTGCAATATAATACATATCATTGAACTTCAAAAAGAAATGTTTGTACATAAATGAAAAATAAACAGAACTTTCTTAAATTTAACAAGACAAGCTTATCTACGATATCAAGAGTTGAAGTTCCACAACATCAGAATTATTTCACTAAGCCATATCTAACTAATACAATTTAAGAAATAAGAAAGTCTAATGCTCTATCTCTATCAATATCGTATTTTAATAATGCCATAGATGCTTGATCTTCTGGAAATCCTAAGTCCTTTAATGTGCATAAATTTTTATAATATATTCTTGCTTTATTTGGATCATAATCTGTTAATGCAAGTGCTTTCTCTGCATCTTCTCCAGACATACCAATCTCCTCTAAAGACTGAATAGCTAAAAGATATTCTACAACCTTTTTATTGTCTTCACCACCGAGATCACATATAGCACGTGCTGCTCGTGATAACGAAAATCCCATATCACTTAAATGTTGAGCTAATTTCTGATCTTCTCCTTTTAAATTCGAGAGTGGATTTGTATGATTTACACTATTCGACACTAATGAACGTTCGTGTTTATGTTTGCTGTACGAATCAACATCTGGACTTTCCAAATCAGGCCAAGGTTTCCAATTCTGTTACATGTAACATAGATAAAATATAAATTTATATATATATTTTTTAAATATTACAATGTACTTTTTTTACCTCCATTGAAGGTCGTTCCAATTCCCTTTGAAGTTCTTGTACAATTGTTGACACACTGCGATGCTTAACATTAGTGTTTTTGTCAGCATTTTCTTCACTTTGTGTATTAATATTTTCTTCTTTTTCTTCCTCACAAACAGTAGATTGTTCTTCGATAGTTAATTCGTTTATAATATTTTCCAACTTGGCAGATGGTAACCATTGTGATGTAGGTTGCAATACCTACAGGCATAAAGCACTGTAAATGTAAGATGCTAATTACAAGAAACATATTTTTTATATGTAATTAGAGTAATTACATTTATTATCCAAGCAAAAACTTTACTCATAATTTAAACTAGCTTTACCAACCTGTGCAAGTTCTTCCATATCGTTAATAGTTTTTAATTCCATATTATCAAAAGGACTGCTTGTATCATTATCAAAATCTGCAAAGTCAAGTCCATTAGCTTGTACATGATTCTGCAAATCATTGGCTGGCGGAGACAAGGGTTGAGGAGTAAGTATAGTAGTTTCTGGTGGTGGAATAACTTTTACTGGTGGTTGTTTTACTGTTTCTGTTGGAAGAGGTGGAGGTGGCGGCGGAGATTCTTCCTTTTCTCTTTTCTTTTTTTCTTCTAACCGAGCTATACGTGCCTTAACATTTGCTTCTCTGGCTTTACGCCATTCTGCCATCTTATAAAATATGAATAATTCCATTAATTTTCAAAATAGATAATACACGTAAAATTAAAAAAAAATATTATACATTTCTAAATAAGATAAGAACTGTACCTTTTCAAGGACGGATTTTTCTAAGCTGAAATTATACACTAATTTCGATATATCTGGTAATTTATTATTATAAACTGCGGGCAAACCAACTTTTCGTGGTGGCTTGTATGCTTCCACAATTTTAACATGAACTCCATCCATGTACGATGCGACAGAATCACATTGTGCCGAAATTGAGGACCGAGCCATAATAGCGGTAAAAATGTAAGGCAGTAATATTTATAATTTTATTTTATTACGAATTTATAGCGATGATCAAATATTTTTTCTTTATACGTAGCATTATAACCTAAATTATATCGTGACAAATATCTATGGATATTTCGTTACATATTAAACACTAATAAGACTTCTAATAAATGATAAATCTTACAATTGGAATCTAATGTAGTCTTATTATACAATAATTCGTACTTGTATATATATGTATAAATAATCAAAAATTGAAGATATTTCTTTTAACTTGACAACTCATCACCTCGATGCTATTAACATTTTCTGTTTGATTGCGATGATTCAGTTCAGGAAAGCCAAGTTGATAGAAAAACAATAAAGGCTTCTCTTATATCGTTATTGTCGATAGATTCGCTAGTGTCGCTAATAAAATATAAACAAAAATATTGCATAGATAAAACAAAAGTAGTAATTGATAATACGCGTAACTACACGACTGTTCCTAAGTACATTAGAATGATGTTAACGCGCGCGTTTAGACGTATCATTTAAATATAATAATAATAATTATATTAAATGCTCTGTAACATACACATTGATTGATATAATACGGTATTTATATTAAACGATGTTTTATATTATCCAGTATCACATTACTATTATTATATTACTATTAGTATAAAAATGTATTAAATTTTCGTTTCATTTTTAAAAGGTTGGTAGATCTGATTTAGATCGTACACCGTTCAGGTAACAATGTGCATTGGATATTCGTGTGTTGATATTAAGTGAGAATATTTTTTGTGATTTAGGATAAATGAATATAAACATGAGCGAAAGTACCGATGTGAGAAACAATGAAGAAGACAATGCTGTAGTCACTTGGACAGATTTGGTAAAAACATTACTCCTCACATGTGATCGAAATTTATAACCTTGAAAAATTGACACATTGTTGCTTACAGTTCTTTTCTTTTAAGTTTTATTACAGCATCAAACAATAATTAATCTTTCTTAGTAGCGAATAAAAATTCTTAACTAAATATTTCCTTTTTCATAGGGTATAGTAGAAACCCTATGTAAAGCTTGTGAAGATTTGAAATGGGAGAAACCAACTAAAATCCAAAAAGAAGCAATTCCTTTAACACTTCAGGGTAAATTTAGTGAAAAAAAATTATCTTATCACAAATATATATATATATATATATATATATATATATATATATATACTTTATTTATTTATATAATTTATAGGTAAAGATGTAATAGGCCTGGCAGAAACTGGATCTGGTAAAACAGCAGCTTTTGCACTTCCTATATTACAAGCTTTATTAGAAAGCCCTCAAAGATATTTTGCTTTAATATTAACACCTACCAGAGAATTAGCATTTCAAATCTCAGAACAATTTGAAGCAATAGGTACAAATTTTATATTTTTATCTTACAAAGAATTTTAGGACAATTATATAAATTATATTTTATCTTAGGTTCAAGTATAGGTGTAAAATGTGCAGTAATAGTTGGTGGTATGGACATGATGTCACAGGCTCTAATATTGGCAAAAAAGCCACATATACTTATTGCTACACCTGGAAGATTAGTTGATCACTTAGAAAATACTAAAGGCTTTAATTTACGTTCTTTAAAATTTCTGGTAAATGATTATGATCTTGTATTATGTACCAAAAAAGCGATCTATTGTAATACTATATTTTTAATTTGCAAGGTAATGGATGAAGCAGATCGTATTTTAAATATGGACTTTGAAGTTGAAGTCGATAAAATTTTGAGAGTTATTCCGCGTGAAAGGCGAACACTATTATTTTCTGCCACAATGACAAAAAAAGTACAGAAGCTGCAACGAGCTTCTTTGAGCAATCCAGTTAAAGTTGAAGTATCTACTAAGTATCAAACAGTTGATAAATTACAACAATATTATATATTTATACCAGTCAAATTCAAGGTAAATACATAGTACTGAATTAGGCATATATATTACAAAAGTACATGGATTATTTTAAGGCTTATAAGAAAAATTTCAGTATAAGAATAATAAACTGTACACAATCCAACTTCATTACAGGACGTATATCTGGTACATATCTTAAATGAATTAGCTGGTAATAGTTTCATGATATTCTGTGCAACTTGCAATAATACAGTAAGAACAGCATTACTATTACGTAATTTAGGATTTACGGCTGTACCTTTACATGGGCAAATGTCACAAAATAAAAGGATTGCAGCTCTTACAAAATTTAAAGCTAAGAATAGATCTATACTTATCTCTACAGATGTTGCTAGTAGGTAGGTAAATAAATTTTCAGTAAGTCAATAATGTACTGTTTAAAAAGAGGCCGCAAATTATATAAATTTTTATGATATTTTCCAGAGGTCTCGATATTCCCCATGTTGATATAGTAATAAATTTTGATATACCTACGCATAGTAAAGATTATATACACAGAGTTGGTCGAACTGCACGTGCAGGTCGTTCAGGGCGCTCAGTTACATTTGTAACACAATATGATGTTGAACTTTATCAAAGAATAGAACAATTAATTTCAAAACAATTACCTCTTTATGAAACAGAAGAGCAAGAAGTAATGCTACTACAAGAAAGGGTAGCAGAAGCTCAACGTATCGTAAAAATGGTAAGTTGAAGAGAATCTTCAAAAATAAAAATAATCTAATGGAATAAAAGTGGAGAAATATTATAGATTTAATCAACTTTTATAGGAATTAAAAGATTTAGAGGATAATAAAAAGTCCGGTAAACGAAAAAAACGTGCAAATATAGACAATGAGGATGATACGGAACAATCATTCGGAGTTAGGAAGAGAATAAAAGGCAAGGGAAAAGGAAAGGGAAAGGGAAAAGGTAAATGATTTTAAAGGAACGAGATATTGAGGTCAATTATGTTGAAGTAACAAGCAAATTATGTTTAAGTAACACTCGTGTCTTAATAAATAATGCAAACGCGACATAAAACTTTTATTATCATCGTTATTTTTTATTTATAAACCACTCCACCATTTTCCCTCATATGAATATTTGACCCAGACTTATAGCCTTTATATATAATTTTCAAGTAATTTAATTTACAAAATCTTTTTTTATTCAGTTTCAAAATTTCTAGTTTAACAGTATGGTGGAAATGAGTTTCCTGATGTGTTTATCACTTACCATCACGCGAATTTCAATGTATAAGAATATTTGGGATGAACTGCGATAAAGATTATGCAGAATAAATGTATGCATAAGTAAAAGGCTAAGAAATAAGGACAATCTTTATAATACTGAGAAAATTAGCATTGTATTATAATGATTTTAAGTCTTTTCACAGAGCGAGTAATATTTATCTTTCACTCGAATAATCACAATAAAATATGTAATAAAAATCACAACTTTTACCATTGCCATTTATCATCTGCAATAAATCTGTTAGATGAAATTAATAAAGCACCGAGGCAAAACATTATTATATGGTCAATATGTCTACTTGCACGCTTTGAATAAGATATAAAGTAAGATTGATAAAGCAGAATCCTGTTTATAAAAAAATGCAAGCTATAAAGAAAATCGTATATAGATAAATAGAAAACTATTTAAAAGATATTATGAACATTATGTATAATGAACACAGCAAACTATTGCAAAATTGATTGATAAATTCTTTCCCAAGTTTCTTTAAAAATGATCATTACAACTCTACCCTTGTTTTAAGATAAAGATTAAGGGAACAATTATTGTTCCATCAAGTATTTATAATTACAGTGACTTCTAAAATCTAATAAATTGTTATTAATTGTATAAAGTGGCAATAAATCCTTTAGTCTTTACTTGTATAACAATTTTGTTTTGACATAATGTGCACTAGAAAATATTGTGATGCTGCTTGAAGTGAAAATTTTCAAGTATAGATAAATACATCTTTAAAATACAATTAAAATGGTGCTATATAAATTGTAATTCTTAATTATCTATCCTGATTATTAATGCATTATTAACAAGCTGTCAATATACATACATATACATATACATATTTATATATATATACATATATATATACATATATATATATATATATATACACATATACATATACATATTTATATATATATATATATATATATATATATTGAACAAAGTTATCGGTATAAGAAAGTGTATGACACATCACAAAACTTTGCTGAACATGCTAAGAATAATAAATTCATTGAACTATACATGTGCAAACAATCTTTCACTGCAATATCATCTTTTTAGAAGCTATATATATACATACATATATACATATATATATATATATTATGTATATATATGTATACACATGCATCTGGTTGTCTATTTGAAGTAAATTGAAAATGCATTAGGTGGGTTCATCATGCAAATATCCATCGCTGCATTTTTGTAACAGGAATTTCTGCTTAAAGTATATTTACGCTTTAATCAATATTTAGATTAAATGTCTATACTAATCGAACGTACGAGAATCTCCATCTTATTATCGCTAAATGATGTAAGTTTAATCTCGTTGTCGAGGGCGTTTATAATAACGAACAGCGCGCGTGCAAGCGATCACTTCAGTCTCTGAAGCAAAGACTTTGTCTGAAGTTATTTATTCCAAATGCCGATACTGTTAACACTGCTCGATATGAGAAAATACATATCAAAAAAAAGAAGAAAAAGAGAAGGTATAGTTGTATTAAATTTTCTTGTATATTAAATATTTCTTCCAATCCTATATTCCCTCGGTGGCAAAGTACCGACAGTTATAATAAATAAATTCGTACAATGTGACTCTGTCTCCTTTTAAAATATATAAATACATATGTATTAGCGATTATCACGAGTCGTCATTCGACGAACACACTGTTGAGTCGCAAAATATTCAAAAGAAAATGTATTGAATCTGAAATTACAAGGCGTGTGGCGAAAGTAGTCTACTCTAGTATGCTACTACTTTAATATTTAATCAGTTTTAGACCTTACGATGAGCTCGGGTCTCTTTAATCGTTAAAACGAATATAAGTAAACTAATCGAGCAGAATCTAATGGATGGAATGTTCCAAATACAGGTCAAGATGTGCCAGAAATTGAAACAACTTAGGTTTCATTTAAATGAGAAATAAAATATATTCCATAATATTATTATTCACTATTTCTACACATTCTGTACAGTAATTCAATTTAAGGGTTTTATACCTCAATATACTTTATACAAAAAGGCTACTTATAATCTAACATTAAGACATACCATAGCATGAGCGCCCTCCATCTTACCGCTAAACGGCAGATGGGCCGCACGCATGTTTGTACTGGTATTACGGAGTCAGTCGCCAGCGAGTATAACTTCTTCCTCTTGTATCACACACCTGCACACTAAATTGTTGAAAGTGTGTCTCTGGTGCCATTCATACCATTATCATTTATAATTACAATTTACTGTCCCCAATAAACGTACTCCATTATTTCACTTTTGTTTACATTCTCGAAAAGGAATAGGGGAGATTTTACCATCGCAAAGTCGAAATATAATGAAGTGCCTTCATTGCCTGCTATGCACAAGTTCGTATCTTTGTTTTTTGTTTAACTTTTCTGAGATACTCTTTACCAATAAATAAAATTATATTTTGTGAAAATATAGAATCGTAAAAAATAAAATCTGTCTTTTCAGTTTTGGATAATATCGGTACAGAAATAGTGCATTTCAGAGACTCCACAAATAATAGATCTGTTAATTCAGGTCTCTGTCCTCTAAGTACTTGTACTCAAAAGTAAAGCCTTCTTTCTTTCTTTGTCCCCACTTTTCATAATCAAAATAGATGTAGGTTCCCTGTAATATAAACAATTACTTTCAATATAGTTCTTCAGACATGTAGAATATAAATAATAAATAAAATAAAATCTTTCAAAATATTATTATACGCTTTATTATTATCGTATGAAACTGCTTAAATTTCATTTTATTAGAACAATTTTGTAAGATATGCTGATATAATCAATGGGACAGTAACCTGCTCATATTCTTCATTAATAACTTTAGGCTCTTCGTGTCTTTGAAACCACATCATGTATTTTGTATGAAACCTCCAACTTTGTTTTTTCAGAGCTTTCGCCGCCAAGTATTGACCCTTGGAACCTTCCATGTAATAAAATATAAAAAACAATGTTTCCGTAGAAAGACGTTGGAAGAATTCTACAGTATCCGAATGAGGAAGCTGTACCTGTGCACAAAAATATTGCAAACATCAAATTTTGAAATTCCACCACATGCCATTTTATCACTCTTTTACACACCTGTTGATAGTAAGGTGGCGTAGGACACAAATTTCTTGGCAAATACGACCGTAAACGTTCGGAATCTGAGGGATGAGGCATATGATAATAAGCAGCTTCCATCATTTGAAACTGTAACTGGTGTTCCTTTTGCAAAGGTACCGGCCCCAGTGGTGCTACGCCAAGTAAAGGTGGAATGTGTGCTTCCGAGGTGGCGTTGTTACTATTGTTTGCCTTCGCACTGTCAAAGATGTTTCTATTCGGCTCAGACGGTGGTATTTCCAGACCTGCTCGGACAATGACTTGTTGGGCAATAGATTTTAGAGAGGACATGCCATCAGGAAGTTTAGGGATGAGACCATTGGCAGTCGATGGCGCTGGCGAGCATGAATTCGCAGGCAGAGGCGAAGACCTAGTGCTAACCGAAGATTGTGGCGAAGAAGACGGTGGGATGGGCGTTGTCATTTCTGCTTCACTATTGTGATTTTGACTTTGCTGACTATGTAGTATATGAGTTGTTTGAACAGGTGCTGGATTGTTATGTTGCTGCGAGATCGATTGTTGGACGTTCGAAGTAACACTGGATGTAGAAGACGACGACAATAATCCGTTTTCACTGCTATGAGCTGTAAATATTAATAAATTATCTAATATTAAAAGAATATATTGGAAAAATTCTTAAATTATATTAATAAATATTATTAAATAAAATTATATATAAGAAATACTAGCTATAATTAACGGATAGTAAAAATATAATAAGAATGAGGTACTACTTACATGATGTTTTACTAGAGGTAGAATGGATGGCTTGTGAATTACTGTGTGAAGCAGCTACTGTGGCAAAATTTCCAGCATTAGTTGTTGCAATGTGATTACTAGTGGAACTAGGCGAGCTATGGCTAGATGTCATGGGAATGGTCTTGCTTGGAGTGCTGCTTGATAACAAATTCGACTTTATAGAGGCAGTGCTTCCCGTGGTTGGAATGCTCGCTTGAGAATTTAATAATGGCCTGACCGCTGTTGGTTTTACAGGCTGGAATTATAAAAGAACACTATCATCGCATCTATAAAATAATTATTCCCGTTGCAAAGCCAATAATAATGCATACCTTTGTTTTTTTATCTATATCCGTGGAACTATCACTTGAATGGTTGTGCATGGTGGAACTCAATGGCGGTGAAGGTATTGGTGAAGTACCGGAGTTAGTCGAGGTTGGTGTACCTCCAGTCTCATTGCTATTGTTGCTATCTGTTGTTGCCGCAGAGGGAATACCAACCCCGGACAACTCTACTTCATCAAGACCAATAATATCATCATAAATGTATTCATTTTCCTCGAAGTCAGGTTCTTGAGATGATTCAATGTAATATTCAACGTCGTCTTTTATCCTCTTGATCTATTAAAAATTCCATATAAACTTCAATATATTTATAATGCAAAAAATTTTCAATTATTGCTATACAGGGATGAATGCAAAAACTATCTATTACAATAGCAAAAACTATTAAACTTTACTATTAAACTATTAAAATTTACTCTTCTCAAAGGTCAAGAGAAAACTCACTGTATCGACTTCAACAGACATATTATCCAACATGCGCAACAATGTCTCCAATTTACGGATATGGTAACGATGCTTATCAAGCTTTGCTTTTAGCTCATCCATTCTATCTTGTTTATCTTTATCTAACCTTTTTTTCTTTCCTGCTAGTAATGATTCTATCTCTGATTCAAATGTATCCAGCTAAATTAGAATGTATCATCAGCATATTAGATTAAGTAGGATAATATTTGTAAATGTCTTAAAAATAATCAATCCTCTACCTGAAGATTTAAAGCATCTATCGAATTTGCAAGCCAATTGCTAACTTCTTCCCTTTCCTTTTGAGCTGGATCGAGTTTCTGTGCTGCACCTAAGCCTTCCTTCGAATAGGCCTTGGTTTTTGTTTCTCTTTCAACAACCTTAAACCTTTCCATTTGCTGAAAGAAAACATCATAATATAATATTTGCAAAATTATCTTGTAACGCAATATTTTATTATAAATGTATATTTTATTCATGCTGTATACTTACAGTCTCAATTAACTTCCTGTAGTCAAGAAGTGTACTTTTATCCTTAATTTCACCAGATGCGATCCAACTTTTAATCTGATCGCGTAACCTCTGAAGTTTTTTGATTTCCTTTTTAAGATCCGCCTCATATTTCTCCTTCTGATTGCTATTAGTGGCATTATGAACCTTCTGCCAAATGTCTTCAAAGGTCTCTACACCCTCTGTCACTTTTTTAAGGCACCGATCTATTTCACCTATAAAACGAAAATCAAAAATAGAAAGCTTCTTTAATGAGTTATATATATATATATATATATATATATATATATATATATAACATATACACATATATATGTATATATGTATGTATGCATACATATATATATATATATTATTGGAAGTAAAATATGCATCTAATGTATAAATAATATTATTGGTTGTAGATAATGATACTTTAAGATATATGTGTATGTTAATAGAAATAACTAAACTAGTACAACTAAATTACTACATATCACCATATAAGCAAGATCACCAATAAGCAAGAACAGAAAATGGATTTGAACGTGACGCTTTAAAGGTTATGCATTAGTATATATTAATATTAGAATAGTCTTATGTTAACAATAATAAGTATTACAGAAAAGCAAATGGATGTGTAAAATAAATATAAAAAATAAGAATAGAATTCACTGTTCCATTATACTTGAATACTTCTTAACAACTGTCAGAAGGCAAAGTCAATATGCAAATAAATAAAATGAATCAAACTAATACCGCTTTTATGCAGTAAATGTAGTCTTTGATAATTAGGTTGTAAGTTTGATAGAAGAAACGTGTAAAAGTGAATCTGTAGTGATACAGAGCCATAACAAAATTTCTGAATGTAAACATGCTGGAAACATTTTCTCCTCACCTTGCAACTTTCTCGTCGCAGCCATGGCTATGTAAACATGTGATACAATGGTTCATGCATAGTCTAGACGTAATGGAAAAAAAACGGAGCAATTTTTTGGTACAAATAATCGCTGAAGTATTATTCCCAGTATAATATGGGAGGCTCGGCCACAAGATGGCTTCCGTTTTCAAATGACAACGTCCTACTGTCCGTGAGCGAGCTGCGCTCAAAGCACATTCAATTTTTCCCGATTTTTAACCTTTTCCAAATAAGGCAAACGTTATGTCTGTCGAAAAATTGACAGCACATAAAATACACAAAAAGTGGCAGCATCAACAAAGAATATATATGAACTACTTAACAAACGGGACAGTATATTTATGCATTGGCGCATTCACACACATTCTATCTAACGCACATACTTATTCTGAATGTGTTCTTAAAACAATTCAATCAAGCCTATATTATGCTATATTCATATCAACGCATGATTTCGAATAAATCATATATTTTTTTTACATTTGGTATATTATTTGATTTATCCGCTATAAATAACCTATATTTTGTAATAATATTTAAATAAAAAACCAAAAAATATTTATTGCGTATACATTGTGTAATAATTAGCTTTTTCAATTTAATTTGATAAGATTTTATCTCTTTAACAATATGATTAATTGAATTACACATTTAGTGCTACATACGGATCAGATCATTTTTAAATATTTATTATAGATTGACGTTTTTATATTTATTCTTCTTTTTTTTTTTTTTGTTTTTTCAAATTTACCGCCAATTATTTGAGAATGAATAGCGATAGTATACACATGTACTTTTATATAGATTATGATTGGATGATAGTTCGTATGAAATTTTTAAGACATGCAATGTTCATGGATTTATATAGTTAAAGGTATATGATCTGTTTGTAATATATATACATTTGGAAATATTCGGAAAATCTAAATCAATTATAAAAATTTATTTAACGTTTATTTTTGTTTTTTAATTGTATAAAAGTGATGATTCAGAAAATAAATTATACAAATTGCATTATAAACATCACCAAACAAAGCCTATTACAATAATCATGGATGAAATGATCGCTAAGAGGGAAGCAAGAAGAAGACGAATTTTAGAAAATTCAGAACGTCGTTTACAAAAAATTACTGATAAAAGTAACCAAAATGAATTCGAAGGTAAAAATTCAAACATTATTGTTCATTATATCCAACGAAATATAATATTTTTAAGTATCATATCGTTTTATTACTTTGTTCTTGTAATCGATGCAACTATCATGAACAGTATTAAGTTGTATACTGATGTTGTACTATCTAATAAAAATATACTAGTTGATAAAAATTAATTGTATTTGTTATATTTCTTTTCAGATATATCAACCAAATATACTGCTTTAAATGTATATTCAAATCTATTAGATTTAGAAGTAAATGGTATATCTGTAAACAAAGCACTTATTCAAGATGAAAATAATGCTTTATATTTTCAAGGTAAAGCCACATTATATATAAGAACATTTTATTTATTATTTATTTTTTGTCAGAACTTGTATAGCAATCAAATTTTCAATGTCATTATATATAGGTGATAATGTTACAAAAAACAGAGATAAAACAAATATAGAATCATATTTTGGTTTAAATAATGAAGATACTTCTTTTGTATTAAGCAATTCATACAAGTGTAATGACATAACAAATGACAAACTTGATTGTACAAATAATATGTCAAATTTAAAGCATTTTGGTTATCACAATGAAAGTACAGATTACATACAAGAGAAAAATTCTACTAATGACCAAATACAACACAATGTATGCAATAAAAGTATACTATCGTCTAATTTATTGTCTAATCACATAAGTTATATCGTGCTGGCAGCTATAGTTAACATTTTATTATTGTTTAAAATGGATCATCTATTTGGGAAGGTATTGGTATTATAATATATTAATACATACAATATTATATTATTATTATACAATATTTTGTCTTTCATAGTGCATGTAAAGTATACATATTATGAAATAATATATTCTATAACTGTTAATTTTCAGTATATTCTTATACCCTATTTTATTATGATGCTTGGACGTTTGTGTGCTCGTAATAATATTCAAGAACCACAACATGGAAGTCCCTTGATTGCTACCTTGATATTGTGTAATATTAAGCCTGTGTTAACTTATCGACTTACAAGGGCAATAAGCATTATTACTTCAATCATTACAGATTTAGCATTATATATTTTCAGCTTTACTTTAATCTATTGTGCAATTACATATTATTTACAAGATTTCAATATTTTAATTGCATCAAGTATGTAAGAACGTAATATAGAAAGCTAATGTTTTATTAGAAATTATTAGAAAATAACCTATGTATAAGAAAAGAAAGAGTTAAATGTTTTATAGCATGTAAATGTATCCATACACAGCACACACATAGTAGATATGATTTTGAATAAAATTATTATTCTCTTATTAAATAAATACATAGATACAAAGTGACGATATGTATGACAACAAATTTTTATTTTCTATCAACTATATATTACATAATATCATGATTTATTTATGTAAATAGTTGTTAGAAATATTTCCAATATTTTTTAACATATCTAATTGGATATATTAAGTACTGGAAAAACTCTGGGAAAATAAAATTTTATCATTATAAACATTGAATATTTGATAAGTTCGTGAATAATTATCATAATACAAATATTGAATACATCAATAATATATTGCTTATATTGAATCTCCTGTAATATTGCCACACTTCTCAAAATAAGACGTTTGTATATTATGTATAAGCAATAGATAACATATATTAAATTTTATATGTTATAAATATTCTGTATACATATTGTAATGTAGATATTTTTAGTGCTTGTCTCCATTTGCGTCTTCATTTGATATAATTTCACATAGACAAATTTGTAATTTCTGCTTCTTCATTTTTATATATGTCTACAACAAACTTGACACGTTATTATAAAAATTGTAGCACACACATCTAAATAATTTTCTAAATATAACATGCAGTATGAAAGGTAATTAAATATAGAATCTATTAATAAATTTAGTTTATTTATTATTTTTATTTCTTCATAAAAAAAAAAGCCAAACAATAAAATAGAGAAAACTTAATTTGATAATATATAAATTTATTTCATCAATAATAATTATGTATATAACACATTCAAAAATTAACACAAAAAACCTAAAAAGTACTACGATTGGAAATAAAAAAAAAAGATCTGTTATCTGTACATAAGGTTCCAACAGCAAAAAATCGATATGAGAAAATAAAATATACCAATGAATACATACTTCTTTACTGTGTCCCAATTTTTAGTTAAATATTTCAGTGTTTTCATATTAAATTCTAATTTTTCATTTTGCTTTTCAGATTTAGAAATATGTACTTTTACATTGTTCATAATTGCATCAGAGTCAGACAGTATCTTGTTATTATTACTTGATAGATAATCTATCAATGCAGCAGCATTTTTATATTTATCTACATTTAATAAATAATTTTCATGGGGATGAGTCATCAAATCATTTTTAATAACACTGGATTTAACCATATAAAACGAAATAGAATACAGATTATGATGAAACTGAGAACGACTCAGAAAATATTTATAAATTATTGAGTTCTGTCCGATAAAATATTCATAAATTGAAATATTTATTGAAAAGTCAGAAATCTTCGTGCCCCGACCCATAATGTCCTTATTAAATACTTTTAAAGGAATTAATGTGATATTTAAAACTTTATCATTAGATTGGGTGGGGCACATTATTTCCTATATATTTTTATCTTTATTTTGAATCTCTTTTGTTATCTTTTGATTCCATTCTTCTTTCTCTTTATTATATTGATCCATTAATTTCACTGCTTGATTCATAAACTGTTTTTTATCTTGTTCATTCATAGCTTTCCATTGAATACTTAGCTGTTTTACGTATTCCTAAATTAAATGTTTTATTACAAATTTATTCTTCATATGATTAATTATGAATTAGAAATAGCTATAGTTTTTTATTTTGAAAGTTTACCAAATGATAACTCAAACATTGATAAAAACAAACATACCTTATTTTTGATGGTAGAATTTTTTGTTTTCATCATACTAACCATATATAATATAAAAGCTGAAGGTGGTTTTTTTGGTTTAGCAAATAATTTAACATCCTGAAAAATAAAGTGTCTATATACAGAGTGATATAATATTTTATTTTTCTATAATTTTACATTTTATAATTAATTACCAATGATCTCTAATAGAAAAATTTCTTGTTTGCATATTACTTACTTTGTATTCTTTTTTTTTATCACTCATTTTTTTTATCAGCATATATTGTTCTCTTTGTTCTGGCGTAATTGATTTTTCATACTCTATTACTTTCATCATATATTCTTTGTATTCTGTATCATATTCTTTATTTAACTTAAATTTATATTCAGGATCTTCTAAAGCCCACCTTGCAGATATCTCTTTTACAATTTTAGCAGATTTATATTCTGGAAATTCATTGACAATGCTTGGTCTCATTATTTTCATATATTTAAAAAATGGCGTTAATGGTCTTTTTGGTTTATCCGGAAATAAATCTCTTTCTAAACTTTTTTTTGTTTTTGTTGATATAAATTGACAAGAGCTTGTTAACGAAGATCTGAAATAAATAAATAGTTATGAAAGAAAAATATCTAACAATATTTCTAATATTTACATATAATCTTGTAATTGTAATGATGTAAATTAAATAAGATATATACAGAAGAGAAATATTAATAATCTTTTTGTTAGAAAACATTTGAAGTAGAAAAGAAAAATCTCGTTGACCTAATAAAAATTCTAAATAAGATCATAAAATATTAATGTATTGAATACTAATACATAACATGTATATATTTCTTATTCTATAATCTATAAAAAAGAAATTAAGTCTACGATGTTGTATTTAGAAAACACGTCTGCTAAGGTTAGAATTTCAAAGGGTTATGTTTGTAGAAGAATAATTATCATGATTTCTTCATTGAAGCTATTTTATTATCGTTATATTAACAAGTATAAAAAATATAATGTATTGATATACCTTGCATTTAAAAAATGAGAACAGGAACCATGAGAAACAAATCTTCCAAAACCTGCCATGATTTTTTTATATGCACTTATATACTTATCTCTTGCCTACACAATTTAATGCACTTTGTGTGATTTTCTATCTACCTTGTGATTATATATTAAAAATCATTTAAAATCGAAATTTATTTTCGTCGTTTCTTATTAATAAAGTATACGATAAGATAGATACATAATTATCAAAATATAATAATTGTTATTTATATTCTATCACTCGTTAGAAACTAATAGGGATATGATAGTTTAATTCTATTTTTCCGTAATGTGATTGGTTAACACAATGGACTTTTTTCATTTCATTGGTTATAAATTAATTGTAAATCTAGTTTGTAAAGCAGCAACTTGTAACTGCTTTATGGTGGCGAAACAATATCTTCGGGAAATACCCAAAAAAACAAGATAATTAATTATTAACAAATTGTTGAGATAATATTATTTAATATTATATGATATTGATAGTGTGTTTTTGAAAATTTGAGATACTTTATATAAAAAGAAAGTAGTAAAAATGAGTATATTAGAAGAAACCAGACTAAAAGTAAGTATTAACTGTCTAATTTGCATCGATATTAATAATTTAAATAGGATCTCGTACGTTCCTTTGTTCTTCGCTTATATCATAGACAAAAATATATTAAAAATATATTAATGTACATTATAGTCCTAATTATTATATTTCTAATTATAATTACTTCCAATTAAAATATATTTGCAGTGGTATGATATTTTAGAGAGTTTGCTTGAATGTCCCGTATGTTGTGAAATACCAGAAAGCAATATTTTACAATGTGCATCGGGTCATCACATATGTATATCCTGTCGTTATCGATTACAAAATTGCCCAATATGTAAAAATAATTTTTCTAATACAAGAAATTTTTTTGCTGAAGAAATGGCAAGCAAATTGGAAGAAATAATGGTTTGTATAAGAATTTTTTTATAATTTAATAAATATCTAATTAAGCATATAAAAATTGTTTGTTATATAATAAATAAAATTTCAAATTACATTCTTTATAGACATCCCTTATGTATCCTACACATAAAATTAATAGAAGAATTCTTGAAAATAAAATGTGTGTATTTACACAGACAGAAAACATATCTAAAGCATCGGTAGAAGTACAAACTAGAAATGTATTAATTTGGAATAATAAACAAACACAAACGAATAATACATGGATAGAAAATAGATCAAAACAAAAACAAGTAGAGAAAAGAAAGTTTCACTATCCTAAAATTGGAAAAGGGAATTATCCATGTTGTTTAGGTTCATGTACCATTTCATTATCATTTGAAAAGATAGTAGAACACTTAAAATCTTTTCATAAGGATGTATTTTATGAAGTATGATTAATTATTTATATGTACGAAAGAAAGTAATTCCTTTCGTAATTCAGATATTGTTGTAGTTCAAGGAGAATAATGGAGTATTTACACAAACTTGTGAATTAGAATATATGATACCAAGAGACCATGATTTAGCAGTTTATGTAAGAAATATGGGATTGTTTTTTATAAATATCAGAATTCTTCATACAGGCGATTTGAGAGGTATGATTTTGCTTGTAAATAGTGCTTCAGCAAGTAAACACTTTACATTTGAAATAACAATTGGATTGGGGAGAAGATCTGTGACATACTCAGGAATGGTAAACTTAGTTTGATTATCTCTTCTCATAGTGGTAATATAAATTTGAATTAAACAGATTTTTTTTTTCAATGATAAGTACTATAAAATAAAAAAATATTTAATAAATTATTTGAAATTAGGTAAAAACGTGCAGAGTAATACATCAACAAGCTATGGAAGACTGTCTATATATTAAAAATTCTGAAATGCAAAAAAAAAATATGGTTCGTCACGATGGTACATTTAGCTGTAATCTTAGTATTAAGCGTTCTAATTTAACAGAAACAAATCATGATTTAGAAAATCAAGAGTAACCAAATATCATAAATTATATTTATACTGTTATAATTGTTGTTATTATAATATTAAGGTTCGGAAGTTAAAACAGATGTTTTTTGATTGCACTTTAAAGATCGTATATTTAAAAGTAATTCAACATAATCAGTACTTTTGCTATAATGAAAGTAATTAATTTTTTGTTATGTTATTTAACAAGTTTTCTTTTTTTTTTGGTTTTTAATCTTTTTTCTTAATAAACGTTTTTGGCTACAATTTCTAACATTTATTTCAATTACTGCAACGGTCATTAAATTATTTATTTGTTATTATTTTATAAAATCTACTTATTTTGTGAATGTCTTTATTAAAGTCTGTACATCTTATTTGTAAAGCATTATAATAGCATGGCAATCTTTCCTTCTCTAAGACAAAATGTTTTGTTAATACAATGAGTTATAGAAAATAATTTTTGTTAATTGAATAATTCAATTGATTATGTATCAAACGATTGGTAAAATTATATTTAATTTAAATCAATCTGAACTGTGCTATACCAAATGTTTAAAATTACAATAATTTTATGTTAAGTAAATTATCGTAGTTCGTTACACAGTACTTTGTTCATAGAACTTGTATTTCTGAAAATAAAATATAATATTTCAAATGTGATAAACTAAGATGATCTAATGTGAATAGCTTTAATCATTAGATAATATTGGGATAACTACATAATCTGCATATTAAGTGATGAACACTGATACTAAAACCAATTGATATATTCCAAAAATTATATAACTTTTTTATTTGATTAAGTTATTAAAAATAATATTATTTGATAAAGTTAAATCTCTATCGATAGAAATTTTGCCATTTTCTTTTCTTACATCCCATTAAATTTAACATAAGCATTTCCAAACAGCCCCGTATGTTTGACTGGAGTTTTCATACTCACTGTTAATGCATACGCAACTAATAGACAATAATGAAAATTACTTTTTTGAGCGTGTTTCATAACGCTCTGGACGTGTGATTTAATTTATCTACACTTTTCTTTCCCCCTCTGTATTCTTCTACATTTTTTTTTAAAGATTTTAACACATGTTTGTCCAGTGTAGTGATCTTACCATAGTAACATTACTATCATATTTGTCTGATTACCTAACTTTTATGTTAGGTGCAAAATCAGTTTCTCATTTGCTTCTTCAACAACTATATAATTTTCCTTCAAGTACCTCCTTCGCGCAATGACTTTTGTTGTTCAAGAAGTCGCTCCAAAGGAGAAGGACCAGGTCCAGACCATAAAGATTGTTGATTAAGTCTAGCCTTCATTTGATCTTGATTTGAAGGATTAGATATTTGAGAACCAGAACCCCATGTATTGCCACTAAATAAAGAATAAGTGTTTCCTGTTGTGGTTGATTGTACGGGCTTTTGATCCATCTATATATCAAAGGTATTACAAATAAGTTTATAATTGACAATATACTTGTTTATAAATAAAAATTATCATACAACCTCATATGCTCTAGAGTCTTCAAAATTACTTCCAGTCCCAAAATGTCTTTCAGGCAAAGTATTTTGTTGATAATTGCTGCACGGCATTAAAGATCTATTATTCATGTTTCCAGAATTAGGAACATTAGTCCAATTTTGGAAAGTATCTGCAGTGCATGAATCTTTATGTATTTGTGTTCCTCTTGTTGCTCCCCACCAAGCAACTGGTGGTTGAGGAGGTTGAGTATCTTTCCATAAACCAAAGTCTGGAGAGTCAAAATTTTGGAAAACCTGATAATTACTTGTAGATTGTTGCTGACTTTTAGGTGTACCAATTTGATTTGAAAAAGGGAAGTCTAGAATATCAGTATTTTTGTTATACATTGTTGGCGATAATTGTTTTTGTGATACATGGTTAAAATTATTTTGAGTATAAATACCCTGATTAAAATTAAGTTGGTAATTTGTTATATTATTTGGACTTAATGAAGTATTTGGTATGTTTGTAATATTAGTAACTTGTAGATTCTTTTGATATGTATTCAATGTTGGTATTGTAGAAATATTGTTTGCAATGCTTGTTGCTGGCATGTTAATCTGATTTTGTGTAGATATCCCATTGGATCTTACATTGTTTGGAATAATATTTGGTTGTTGAATACCTATATTGTGATTTTGCTGCTGTCGATTTATATTTATATTTTGTTGTAAACCAGTATTTGCAGTTTGTTGTACATACATACTTTGAGATATGTTAGGCATAATACTTTGCTGTGCAGTAGATGATATTCCTACATTTTGCTGCAATAATGAATTTTGAGGTACATTTTGAACCATTCTTTGAAGAACTGGTCTATTCTGATTCATGACATGCTGTATACCCAAATTTTGGGCTAATGTCTGTGTCGTTTTGTTAAGTTGTCCCTGTAGCGCATAAGTTGGCATATTTGCTATGTGTCCAGACATAAAGTTTTTCGCAAATTGCGGATTCTGTACATTAAAAGATTGATTTTGATAGCAGAGTGATCCTAAAGTTTGCGACTGCTGGCCAAATTGAGGTAGACAGGATGCTTGAGGTAATGTATCTGAAGACTGCTCTTGAGAAGGAACTTGATTAATCTGTGATGATGGTTGTATTTTTGTAGATTTTAATTGATTTGAATTGGTTGTAGGTTGACTTTGAATTGTAACTGTAGCACACGGTATTAGTGGAAGCCTATTCTGAACAGTGTTCAATGCATTTGTATTCACTTTTGTTGATTCTGTAGTTATTGGAATATTTTTATTTCCTGTGGGCTTATTTGGAGAAACAGTCGCAGTTGTTTTTATTTTATCATTTTCTTCTTCAATACATACTGGTGAAACATTTTTAAATGTAACTTGCTTTTGCTCTGTTTCTGCACGTCGCATTATAGCTTGCATTGCAATATTTTGCCTTGGTTTCCGAGTTGACGGCAAAGAATTTAATTCAACAATATTACTATCTGTGGTACTAGTTATTGAATCTCTATTTCGCTCTAAAGAACCTTGTGGTTTTAGGATACCTACTCTTCGTTCCTCTAAATCAGTAAAGTAATGAGAACATAAAAATATTATATATAAATAATATAAAATATATAAACTCTTTTTTAAATACAAAATAACTCACGAGCATTTTCTGTTATATCGATTTCTGCAGATCCTTTGCTACTAGCTGATTCAGATAATACAGGACTCACTGGTATAATTGGTTTTTCCTTATTTAAGCTGAGTTCTTCAAGTTCTTTCATTAACTCATTGCTTGGGCCAGGACCTTCACTCAATGGTATAAATCTATTTTCTTCTATTTGTTCACTTGTTACAATAGCAATTAAGGGAGATCCATTAATTTGATATTGTGTTAAATAATGTCCCAACTGAATTAAACGAACAGCTCGGAGTTTATTTAATATCGCAATATCATCTTCAAAATCAGTATTTGTGAATTTCAAATTTTCAAAATTTTTTTCTAATGGTAGGAAGCCTTGCAAGTCCCGATCTTCTGGCAGTGGTACTTTAACATCTATAAATAAGAAAAATATAATCAATTTTTAAGTAAATTATTTCCATTTACTTTCTAATGATAATGTTGCCTACACTGATCATATTTAAAATCCATAATGGATTGTTGCAAAGCATTTAATAATACACAAAGGCTGGGCCAAATTTGGAGTCTAGAAGTAAATGCTGTCTCTTCCAAAACTGTAGGATTTATACGAATCCAATCAAGACACAGTTTTACTGTAAAAAAAAAAAAAAAAAAAAAAGTATAATATGCAAATAATGTATGTATTTAAAACATATAATATATTTAATATAGAAGATAAAAGTTACTTACTGGAAGGTAAAGCAAAATATTCAACAATACGATTCTTTATAGTATAGACAGGTAACAACAATGCAGCTAAACTGCCAGAAATAAAATCTAAAATACAATTTTTTGCCAGTTTTTCATCAGTAGACAATTGGTCAGTTTTTAAGAATTCGATCGCATCTGAAGTGATGCCTGTTGTATGCTGAAGAGCATATAAATTTATTACCAACATTTGTACAAGCATCCATGAACTGAAACTTTCTGTAGCCACTAATGCTGTTAATGTCTCCGTCAGTAATTTAACATATGAGGATGCAGTTTTTAAATCTCCAAGATTATGTATAATGCCATGAAGTTTTAAAAACACAGTCACATATTCTTGTGCACTCAATTTAGTTTTTCCTTCAATGTTATATGAATGATCATTTAATGCGGATGATAAAGTTTTTGCAAGATTAGCTGTTGCTACAGGAAATGGATGTTTCACAGTAACAGAGCGTGCATAATGAAATACAGTTCCTAATTTATCTCCACGTGATGCTTCAAGAAGAGCTAACTGATTATATGGCTGTCCACTTGATGGTGACAATGATACAGCATGTCTGTAAAATAATTCAGCTTGCTTGCTTTCATTTCTGTAACGAGCAATGTCTCCTAAGTGTACAAGGCAATATTGGCACGCATAAAAACAAGATGATTTGTGAGGCGTTGACAATTTTTCAACAGCTTTCCATGGTGAAGTGCATCCATAAACATAGCCTTTCCTGAAATAAATTTGCTATGTACTATAATATTTTATTATAGTTACAATAATTAGAAATAATATTAGCTTACAATATTATAAATTATTTTAATGTTTTTGCTATAATAATTACCGTCTAAATGGTAGATCTAAGTCAAATGCTGTACAAATTTCTTGCAATAATGTCAAATAAAATCCACTAGCTGCTTCCAAACACCAACTCAACAAGGCTTGAGATTCTCCACGTTTTGGATTTTTCCTATCTTTTGCTTGAGATTGCAATGTTGCTATATAATTCTTAAAACCAAGATTCCAAAGTTCCTGTTCAACTTTCTTGTCCAAAGCGTACTCCAGATCCAAAATGAGTACTTGTTGATAAATTTTTTGTAGTTGTTGTTGACACACCCAAGCATCATTATCATTCAATAGATCTTTACAACGTTGAACCTTATCCTTTAATGGTTCAGCTTTCCTATGTAATTAAAGAGTATTATATATGTTATATTACAAAGATGTATATATCGTTTCTTTTAAAAAATATGTTTTAAACATTCAATATTTATATATATCTATATAAATTATTTCTTTAAGATACACATATGTTTCACTCTTACTTCAGAGCTTGGACAGCTGCTTTTAGGCCCATATTCTGTGCACCCTACTCTTAAAACTGATATGTTTCACCTGTTTAACATTCCAATAATATATATGTATATATATATATATATGTATATATAGATATAAATATAATCATCTGTTTTAAATTTGGTAAGAATAATAAAAATAATTTTTTTTTCTCTTTTTTTTTTTTTTTCTTTTTCTTTTTTTAGTATTTTATTATGAAGATATATAGCTGTTCTGAAATCAAAATATGTTTTAGTTAGATAATATCATTATTTTCAATTATGCCAAGCATCTTTTTTAACTTGACTTAATCAATATTTCAAGAAACAATATTAGATAATAGTTAATCATGATTTGTAACACTTATTATTATATTGTTCCAGTAATAAATCTCCTTTTTGCTAAAATTTGAAAAGTTAAAATCTAATAAAGATCGTTACGAATAAATGTTTTTTCTTTTTTTTTTTTTTTAAAGCTTTGATCTTAATATAGATATAATGTTTACAAACAATAAATTTAGATAGGTACAGAATGTTGCGCTATTAAACTTGATAAATATTCAATTTAAAAAGCATGTAAAACTTTGGCATTATAACATCCATTATGACTATAATTATAGGTTAATTTCAATGTGGCGATAACATATCTACACAACGAAATGATTAAATATACAAAAAATATTCATTTGATTTTGCCGTGTTAGCATACAAATATTAGAAGCTTGAAAAGAAATTCCGAAATTAATATGAAACTCACTTTCACATATTTACTTTAGACAGAATCATCGTTAAATACACGAAATGACGGATGAATGCCTCGGAGTGTTCCGTGTATTGAAAAACTGCGCCGCCCTCGTGACAGATTCTCAAGTTACTTTTCCTGGAAAAATAAAATATTAGAACTGTTACATTTTTATCAATTATTTTGGATCAGATCATGAAATAATTAATTATTTATATACTTCATAGAATAACAATATTTTTTTAAATATCTTTATTCTATTCGTAACTATATATAGTACAATTTAATACGTATCTAATTAATGTAATATATAAGGTTAAGTTTATTTGTGTGTGTGCATTATAATTTCATTAAAATGTTTTATTGTAAAATAAGATTTTCATCCAATAATTTAAAGATATGTACATGTATGCAAAAACGCCTCAAAAGTGTAAGTATAATTCTTAAATTTTTAATTAGTTTACAAATTTAAATAAAAATTATATTTTTCTTCAAATAAAATTTTTTTATATAGTTGAACATTATTTTTAATATCTTTAAATGTTACAAGATATAAAATTATATAAAGTAGGGGTATTTCATTATTCAATATAATATTATTTCTATTTTTAGAATATTTCTACAACCGACATTACTGAGACAAAAAATATAAATTTAGAAGCTAAACGAAAAGAAATTATGTCACGTGGTCTACCTAAGAAAAAACCTATCAAAGGTGTAAAGCAAATTCTAATTGTTTCATCTGGCAAAGGTGGTGTTGGTAAATCAACAACTTCCGTAAACTTGGCAACAGCATTAAAAGTTATAGACCCTAAAAAATCAATTGGCTTATTGGATGCAGATGTTTTTGGACCTTCTATACCATTAATGATGAATTTAAAACAGTCACCTTTGTTAAATAAAAATAATCTTATGGAACCATTAATTAATTATGGTATAAAATGGTAAATAATGATCATTTATAAATAAATTATAATGTTTATACTTAGAATGCAAACTTTAATCAGTAGATAATACTTTTCGACTTTACAATTAACAATTCTAATAGGATGTAATTTAATCTGAATTATGAATAAATATAAAGTATTGTCATAGTATGTCCATGGGATTTTTGATCGATGAAAAATCTCCAGTTGTTTGGAGAGGTCTTATGGTAATGAATGCCCTAGATAAATTATTGCGCCAAGTCGCATGGGCTCCTTTAGATTGTCTCATTATAGACACACCACCTGGAACTGGAGATACACATTTATCATTAATTCAAAATATTTTTATCACTGGTGCATTATTAGTTACTACACCACAAAGAGCAGCTTTAGATGTAACAAGGCGAGGTGCTAAAATGTTTGAAAAATTAAATGTACCCATTTCTGGTATTGTTGAAAATATGAGCTCTATTTCTTGCCCGAAATGTATGACCAAAATATCTATTTTTGGTGACAATACAGAAGCATTAGCGCATGAGCTTGGTAATATATTATTATAAATTATACAATTTTAAAGTGAATATATATAACAGTTCTATATAAGAATGCACAATTTTTATACAGGTGTAAAAATATTCCAAAAAATTCCTTTACATGAAGATATTATGAATAGTTGTGATATTGGAAAACCAATAGTATTATCTGCTCCGAACAGTGTTCAAGCAGAATCTTATAAAAATTTGGCAGAACATCTTACGAAATTTTTAAAAGAACAACCACTTATTGAAGAAAAATAATAGGTATATATAAAATTTTTTACACAATTCCAATTTCACCAGAATGAATGATAATTTATTTATATGTAATTTAAAATAAATGAAGAACTATTTACCTTTATAAATTTCATTTTGTTAGCAGAAAGATATAAAAATAATATCAGTGTATTTGAACAGATGAATCACACACATCTTACTCTTTTCCCCCTCTATTATACCTTCATGTCTCCAAAAGTGGGGATAGTAAAATGCTGTAATTCTTTCATTTTCGTGTTATATTATTTCCAGTTATGGTGTTTCTTCGGACGGTACAGCATATACAACTGTCGATATTATCTTTGAAACATTTATGTAAATTTATAATTTTGTCAACATAATAATACATATTCTACAATCATTCCAAAATGATGGCATGGTTGATCACGGATATGTAATGTCTATTTAAAAGAAAAGTATTACTATTTTTGATCTTATTTGTTTTTAGCATCTAAAATGGATAAAGTTGGTACCAGTATACATTCTAGTGTGGATGCTGAAGTATTTGATGTTCCTATGAGCGTAATTATTAGACCATTTCCTCCAGATGTTAATGAAGAGAAAGTTAAAAGTTTGATAAATACTTTGAACAACTCAGAAACAGAATCTTTAGTACCACCAATTGATATATTATGGATTAAAGGCAGCGAAGGTAATATGCATTAAATTATTTATATTAAAAGAAGTTGAGGTTAGGAAAAAGTAGCTTTTAAATAATAATATATTAATGATTTAAAATTTTATATAGGTGGTGATTACTATTATTCTTTTGGTGGTTGTCATCGATACACAGCTCATAAACAGAGTGGCAGGCAGTTTATAAAAGCAAAATTAATTAAATCTACAATAACAGATTTGCGGAGCTACCTTGGAAATTCTACGCCTGATCTGAAGTAGATATGGCACAGGAAAATGTTAAACATTTTTTTCTTTAACAAAATATGGCAGGACTAAGAAATTCAAAAATAAAAAAATTTTTAAATGATGAAATTGTGAAAGTATATATATATATAATATATTATATAAAATCTTATATTAATAAAAATTATATTCAAAGTTAAAGTTTTGTTTCTATTTACTATTTTATGTTTTAGTAATATATATATACACACAAAATACAAAACACAGTTTATACAATTATGAACAAATATATTTTAAAACTTTTTTCTGTAAAGATTTACAATAAGAGAAAAAACATGTGCACCACATTACTTTATATTATCTTTTTTGTACTTAATCTATATTTAAATTACGAATATTATTAAAAATCTATGTAGAACTTCATAATTATTACATCTATTTCAAAGTTCATATGTATATACATGTATCAACAAAACCCATTTGCACTTGTGCATATTTACAAAATTTTATAATATTAAATAGTATCAAATTTCACAGAATGACATGACAAGCGTCGGATAGTAATAATACATACTAATTTTACAAATTGTCATTATCATAAAGTATAAATATAAATGTAAATATATATATATATATATATATATATATATATATATATATATATATATATATATATATATATGTCTATTATTAAATACAATAAACTTACTAAATATGAAGAACAAGAAATATAGTAAATATTTTATTCTCATTTTGTTTTTCTTGATGAGAGGTCTTCTTTTATATTTATTCTATTATATTATAGTCCATCTATTGGATATTATGAATTTTCCTTATATAAACATTTTACATAGCTAAATATCTATATTTGTGCAGAAAATTGCACTAATTTTCAGCATGTGATATATAAAAACACATGCAAATATGTTATCACGTATGATGTATAAGTGAATATAAGATAGTATGTGATAATCATTAATATAGAAATTAATATTAATGATGGCCAATATTTTTTAATTTGAAAATATCTGTTTTTCTTTCATTTGTATTTTTAATACTTTCATAATTATCACTTTTTATATTTTCCAAACCAAATCCAGTAACAAATTTTTCTTTTAAAAGATAATTCATATCTTTGTTGTGATAATTTTCCTTAGATCTTTGAGTATAAGTTTCCCTCAAATTTTTTGTATCAAGTACATAAGGATCATTTTTTTTTATAAAATATGGTTTATGGGTTCTGGTTACATTAACTGTTGTGGCATCTGACACACCATTAGCAGTTTGAGTCTGACTACTGCTATTTTCTGATTTACTATTCTTACGTAAATGAAAAGGTATGACAGATTGTTGTAGATGTAATAATTGAGTATTTGTTACTTCACAATCGATTTGCATCATTGTAATGTGATTTGCAGGAGTTGAATAATTTTCTAAAAAATATAATTTTTGTTGGTTAGTCATTTCTTTCATTCATCTTTTGGATCTACCAAAATAAAAGAAAATAAATAACAAGAAGAATGAACATATACCATTCAAAGGAACAGCAGGAAGAACCAATGCCATTTTTGGTCTAGATGTGTTATTTTTTCTTGAAGCTGGTAATAATAAGTGTTCACCACTGAACCATACTACATAGAAAGTATCATCTTTTCTTCCTAAAGCTTCAAATAAAGAAGCATGTTCACTGAGAATTGGAGAAAATACTTCAACTGCATTAACATTTGATGTATGAATATTGTTCGTCTTATGCATATCTTTTGATTTTATTTTTCGTAAATAACGATTTTTGTTATATACTGTTTTTTTCTCTATAGATGATTTTGGTAAAAGAAGTTCTCCTAATAATTTTTTATTTAATTCAGTCTTTGTCGGTGTAGTCCAATTATCACGATCAGACTCTCCACCAATCCACCGCCGTAACTCGTAATCTAAACGTATTGATTCACTCTGATTGATATACATAGGACACATAGGATGATGCATTGACTTATTTTTATTAAAATCATTTCCAAGTTCTTCTTCAATACGTGTATCAGGATTTGCCCATAGCAAACTTCTACCATGTCTAACATTTGGTGTAATTGCTGGTATATCTGTTGACATACTATCCAATCTTTTGCTATGTGGAAATATGCCTCTACAGTTACAGACAGATATACAGTTTTAATATTGCATAATACAATATTATATGTATATTTCAAGATTATGTTCAAGATTTAATATTTAAACTTAAAAAGCTTAAATGTTATATATAAATACTTACACTAGACCATTAAGATTAAGAGACACCATTAAAATCATTCCTAAAAGGATAGCAGCATTTTTCTTATTCACATTAAGATTAACATTTCCAAGTTTGTTGTTAGATATAATTGTGTCTTCTAATGTTGATAGCCTTTGTTTTAAAGCTATATTTTCCTATTAGAAATAAACAATGAATTATTATTAAATTAACATTTAAATTATTGACTTTCAAACATAAATATTCATATTATAATTGAAGTATCCTAATAAGAAAAGTTAATATAAGTATATATATTAATTTTTATAATATATGTATTATCATAATAACAATTACAAAATAAAATTTAATATTATATAATATAAACAACCAATCAATAATTCTTACAGATTTAAGTTTGTTATTTTCCTCTTGAAGTTGAGAAATCTGTTTTTCCAAAGAGCAAACGTATTCTTTTTTTTTCTTTCGTGAAAGGCAAGCAGATTCTCGATTTTTTATCATTCTTTGCTGTCTCTTTAAAGCTTTCATTTCACATTCTTGCTTACCAGAGAGATTATTAAAAACTGGAATTTCATTTTTTATAACAATAGGAGTACAATTTGATGTTCCTTTTTTTATAACAATTGAATCACATCCCACTGGTTCATTTTTCACAACAATAGAGGTATGATTAGCGCTTTCATTATTTACAATTACGGAAGTATTGGGAACATTAACTATGGATTCTCCTCCGGTCGATACATGAAGATTAGGTAATGCATTAATAATTTTTACATTATTTTGCTGCTGTAATTTAACTCCATTATTTTCTGTTTTTATATGATTTAATGATGTAGATTGAAAATTTAATGGGCCACGTATTTTAATAGGTTTATGTAATGATAATGATTGTAGCTTCAAAGGATATGTCTGATTTTGTTTTGCCTTCTGTGCTAAAACAGCAAAGTCCTGAGCACTTAATATTATAGTCTTTTGAAGTTGTTCTATAAAAATTATGATGCACATACGTTAGATATATAAACGAATTATTCTGAGCTTAGATTAAGTATAAACTTTAATTATTCTTATTCTTACCATCACCTTGTGTAACTTGAGTATTACCCTTTGGTTGAATACAAACACGTTTTGCAGGATTTTCATTGGCAACTTTATACTTTGTATTTTTTGTTTCTTGTGTATTAATAGGTATTAATTGTACTTGTTGGACGAAAGGTGCAGGTGTAGGTGTTACAGTTGATGGTGATATTGGAGGAGAAACATATGGTGGTGAAATTGGTGGTGTTTCTAATGTGAACTAAAAAATATATAGAGAAATATTTATACAGAAAATAAAATATAGGGCACATAAAATTTATTAAATACCTTTAAATCTGTTGGTGAAAGATTAGATATTATTTCTTGTTGCCACTCAGATCCACTAGATTCTGAATGACTTGGACTAGAAGAGAGAGGTAAATGCGTACCAGGACTTACAGGTTCTAATTTTATTTCAGTATTTTCTTCGGTAATTTCTGGATCTAATAATATAATCAGTAATAATAAAAAACACACATCATATTTGTCTTATTTAAAATTGGATTTATTTAATGAAAATACCTTTATCTTGTTGGGTAAAACACGAATCAAAATCCTCAAAAGTATTACAAGATTTTATATTTTCTTCTGTATTTTCATCGTAATTTTTACAATAATCCTGAGATACTTCATCAGGTAAAAGAGGAATTCCTAATTCAGAACTTAGACTTTGAAACAAATCATCAGGAAGGAGAGAATTGTCATCTGCAAAAATATGGTCACATTTTTATTAAAATTTATAATCGATAGAACATTTAAATTTACGCGCGCTTTCGTAACTATCGAAAGAAATGGTTACGACGTAATATTCTTTTGTCTTTCTTTTAATCAAGTAAAACTATTTAAAAAATAATCTTTTAATTATGGAATTTTCACATAAAATTAATAAATTTACACTGGAAATAAATATACATATAAATATATATATATAATATACAATAATGAATCGAATTAAACATTCATATTTTTCAAGGACAAAGTATAAGAGATCATTTATGGAAATAATATAGCGTAATGTGACAGTACACTTCGCATACTAATGTATCAAGAAAAATCATTAATATAATATTGAAATAATACAAATTAAATATAAAAATAGTAGAAAATCATTATTTTCTATTATTCCTTTCATGCGTGGAAATGCGCATATAAATCGTTTATAACTTTTCTATTGCTATTTTCAATTGTTATTTCATATGAATTTATTTATTTATTTATTTCTTTTAAACAATTGGAATGCATTAAGCCTAAACATTCATCGATGATTATAATATAAATACATTCGTTGAACGATAGTGTTATACTGATAAATTTCGTGCTTGTAATACTTTAAAATATATTATTAGTATGCACAAGGACATTAAGGTTGTTGCTTTTATCGGTATGTTTGAAGAAGCATAAAACACATGCGTGAAGCATAAAACAATTACGTGAACGCAATAACAAAGATAGTATTTCGATAGTTGTATATAATACGTAAATGAGCAACCATTACATAAGAATAAAAGCAGGAAAAAAACGTTTTATATTTATTCCTTTTTGCGATTGAACATATTTCTCTTTTCGTTATATGATTTTTCCACTAACATCGAAAATTAGGCACAAGTGCGATTAGAATTTTTTTCTTGTAATAAATTTATCATGTCTTTCATAGAATTTTTTATAAGAATCAGAGAAATTAATCGATCTATAAGATAATTTTTCATTTATCGACATTTAGCCGAAAAACATATTTTGTACACTGTTTGTAAAAAAAAGGTTAATAAATAAAAAGAAAGAATTGTATTTCTTGAACATCTTTCGAAATTTTTCTATGACCATTGTTATAAGGGAAATGAATAGGTACGAGTTGAAGAAACTTGTACCTTTGGCTTTTAGAGAG